AGTACATTGGCACCTGCCATTTTAAAAAACCTTTCTTTTAAAACCATAGCAGTGGGAAAAGGTAAATGCTGCTTTGGGGAATCTAGTGGAGGTGAAAGAGACCAGTCCAAAAAAGGCACAAAATCAAACTCCCATCATATTCTCTGATTTAACAGATGACAGTCAGCAGTGCAAACTTACCTCCCAGTTTCCTACTGGTCTAGTTCAGACCAATAATGGAAGAAAGATTCTTCAAGTGAATGAGAGAGGCTGGCTATTGGAGTGTTTTCTCCACATGTTGGCTACCAACGCTGTGAACCAGGGCCTTGACCTGTCCCATGCACAACCCTGCTGGAGTCAGTGGAGTCCTGCCCCGGGAACTTACCCTGTCTCTTTCTGCTGCAAGCTGCAGTAATATCTTTCCTCACATGGAACTGTGTTTACAGAAACTAGATGGACAGGCCTCACACAAGCCATCATTATCGCCTCCTAGTAACCCTGCAAAGCACAGGACAAGAAGATCCTGCTCTGTGTTTTCATAGCCCTGCAGTAATTAGTACCTGGCATCTGTAATGGCAATAAAGTGCATAACATCAGCATGTCTAAGATGTCACTGTTTTCATTGTATGTTTAATTTTTCAAAGAACACAAAGGCAGATACATAAAAATGCCAGGGAGCCTTTTTAATTAAAGCCTCTATTTTTTTCTTTTCTTCTAAAGATACGCAAATGGATTGAGCCATTACAGAGAAAGATAAAAGGAACTCAGGAACTCCAAACACTGTTTATACATAGTCTTTATGACTGCAACTACTTATTTTGCAGGAGATACTATTTTGACTGGCACTAGTTATTGTGCAGCTTGATACAACTCAAGGCTGCTTTGCAGTGCTACAGAGGCGGACAGTGACTGGAAAGATGCCTTGCCTAGTTTTGGGAGGTTTCACCTCACAGCATAGATCCTACACACAGATTTCATGCAGTGCTCTGCCAGAGTGTCATTGTTATAACCCCACTGCTGTTTGGCAGTTTATGATCATGCTTTGGGTTACTTGGTTGGCCCAGGTTTGGAATAAAACAAGAGAGTGGTTTACAGCTGGTTCCCCTCTTCTGCAATAAAGCTTCCTCTGCTACAGCTTACCACCCACATAGTGTATGATTGTTTACCATTGATACAATGTACCTTACATAAGCTACATATAATGTATCATCTCTTCAGAACAACAGCACATTGTTTTCATCCCTGGAAAATGGGCATAGCTGGCAGCAGGTGAAAAGTTACCTCTGTCCAAATCACTGGCACAAATCTTCCAGATTGCTTAGCCCAGGATTTTACCCGATGCTTGTGATCAAGATACAAGTTATTTAGTCAGCAGGACAGAGCTTGGGTGGTGGGTTCCACTGAGTTCATTTATTAACCCCAGCACTGTACCTTTTTTGATCAGCCTTGAAAGAGTTAGCAAGGACATTTGGCTCTGTGCTTTACTGTAGAAGCTGCCCAACCTCTTGATTACACACCTAGCAGCCAAATAAGTTCAAATAAACTGCTCCAAATGCTGAAGTGCTTATTCAGGCAAAATTCACTGTTTGTCTTCCTCAGATAAAGATTAAATAAAAACTGAATCAGGACTTCTGGAACTGGCCCCTTAAAAGCTGGAAGACAACACTTCGGAGACAACAAATGGAAGATCAATGCGTAAGAGTTCAGTATAGAGCGCACTATTTTTTACTTTTATTTTTTTCTTATATATTATCTACAAGCACAAGCTTTCATATTTTTAATGTAAAAATGCATACAGATCATTATATATATAAAAATCAACTAGCCTTGTAGCAAACTGCCAGATGCAACTATCCCCAGGTTTGGGGACAACTTGTCTGGATCCAGGTGCAAACCCAGTGGCTGATCCTCACCTCCATCCATGGCTGCACCAAACCCCCAGATATGAAGATTCTCAAAGTTCTAGGGAAGTCTTGGTTACTGATCCAGGTCTTGCAGCATGGGCATGACTAACTCTTCATCAATTGAAGATAAATATTTAAAAACTTCATAAATGACAATCAACTTGTAAGTAACAAGTATCCATCTCACCTTTCCTCCCCCTTTTTGTTTATCATCCTTCCCATCCTCTCTCCACAGAAATGGTAACAGGTGGAGGAGAGGAATTTAATGTTAGTGTCATATACATACATTTAAATAGCAGCAGCAGAAACAGAATTTAAGCTGTTGATGTCTGCTGCAGAAAGGCTACTGAATGTGGGTTCATGTTGCATTTGGCCTTTTCAATGCTTGGGCACTTTTTTGGCTCAATTTGCACACTGTAGAAATATGACACACTTATAGAATAGCCAACAACATTTTGCAACAATGTGAGCAACAGTAAGTCAGATTGTATTTAACACTGTGTATCAATAGATTATAATATATTATATTATAACTGGCTTGAGAAGCAGCCTATTGCATCAAGGAAAAAAAAATAATGAGCAATTAAGTAAAGAAATCTGTGTTTGTGTGGGAGGAAAAGTCACAAAATATCAGCCTCATTTTTGACCAAGTGTTTATCATGTTCGGTAGTTTCCAACTTCAGTCTTTTCAAAGGAATGTTACTATTTTTATTAGAGGTTCTTTACGTAACAAGTCATGTTCGCACAGTGGAACATTTTCTTTCACCAGGATTTTATAACTTCTCCATACAGACATTATAAAAGAAGATATAATTTGCTGGGATTCTTTTGGAAAGTATTAGGGCCATAACTTAGCCTCTCCTTCCTTTCAACTCTTGCAATATGAATGATTAATTTATTTTCTCTTATAATTCATATATCACCTTTTTGTATTTTAAATGCAGCTTTACTCTGAAACCCGAGAAAGGTTTTCAGAGAAAAGAACTACTGAAGTTGCCTTTGAGAGGGATAAATCAATTGCTTAGAATACCAATGTAATGACTTTCCTCATCAGCTATGTTGCCATGGGATTGCAGGTAAGAATTTTGTTTACTTAACATTCGTGCAACCGCACTGTTTTGGAAGATAAAAGAATGACTTAGTGAAATGCTCACTTTGGCTCCTAATGTTTTAACATACACGTTTGCAAGTTCAGACCTTCAGCTAATGCCTACTGGTGCGTGAACAGGCACTAGCTCTTTATTTTACACTCGTATTGATTCTGCATTACGAATAGGACTACAAATGGCAAAACTTTTTTTTTTTTTAAACAAAAGTTAGAGATATGACCAATAGTTTGGGCACAAGTGTGTCATGGTAACAGTGATGTTACCTGTTGCAAGAACCCTCTGCCCAGAAGCACATGGTGAAGCTCCCATTGCAGTGTGTAGCTGGTGTATGGCAACATACCTGAATGTGAGGACCAAAATACAGGTATTGATTCTAGAAGAGTGGAATGAATTTTCACTATCTAGAATGGGGGAAACAGAGAAGGTAAACAAAAGAACAAATAAAATATACACCTGAATGTAATGTTCTTTGATGCCGGTTGGGTAAAAGATATGGGTGAGAGAACATTTAAAAATATTTACTTTGGTAAAGTATCTTTAAGTGAATCCTTTTGAAAAGTCCTGACTTGGGACTTTTCTCTGTCCAGAGAGATATACAGGCCTGATTCTCCAGCCAGTTCCACCTCTCATATGGCTACCTATAACTCTATAAAGAGCCAGATATCCTCACTCTCTTACATCTGTAGCAATTTGCATTTGATAGCCTTTTGGTGTTACTTCCTCACAGAGGCAAATAACCAAATGAAGTACAAAGCAGTGGAGAATAAAATTGTATGTTGTTGCTACAAGAGGGCTGGTTCCTCAAAGGAGAATAGTGCTAATATTCCCATTTGTCATCCCAATCTTTGGCTGTGGTTCTACGTGGTGCCAGTCTGAACTGCACACCACGCTGCCTAAAGGGAGGCAACACAACTAGTGGGAAATGAGCGCAATTTGAAATAAAGTATTTCAGTCTTGGTTCTTGCATCTTGTTAGCATACAGTTAGTAAGCCGAGTAACAATCAAAACTTGACAGCTGGCTTAAATGACATGCATGAGGGAAGAAGAGAGAGGAGAAAAACCGGACACCTTTTATCCCAGGCAACAAAATCTGATGTAATGCACTTTCAATTGAATGTGCCAGATAGAGTCACAAAAAATCTGTGCTGGTTTAAACCACAGAGTGCTTCAAGCAACATCTGGAAGTTTAAAGAGCTGGAAATTATGGCCTTTTGATATGGCAGAGGCCACTCACATCTCATTCACATTTGGGATTAGACTTTAAATACTTGCCTTCCCATGGGTTCAGTTCTTCTTCTGTATAAAATAGAATAAGATGAACTACTTGAATTGCAATATGACCAAAACAAAAATGTAAATAAAAGTTAAAAACTATCCGTAACTAAATCAATAGTAATATGGTTATTTTTTTAGTTTGATTTCCCAACACACACACTCTCATTTCCCCAAGTACAGTACTGCACTTTGAGGGGGAAATGCTGAAATGACACTGAACTAGATGATTATCTCTTGATGAATTCCACAGTTTCAGAGGATCTAGAAAAGCAGCTGAACTTCAGCTCTGTTGAAATGTGTGTCTTGCTGGCTAAACACTCCATGAAATAGGCCTTTCCTATTTTTTTGCATACCTTGCTAAGAAAATCAGCACTCATACATTTGACAAAAATAACACCAAGGAAAGACAGTTTGGAGTAAAAGCACACAATGCACCAATTTAGAGCTGGTGAAAGGTGTCAGATGAACTTTTTCTGGTACAACACAGCAGCCTCTATGTGTATACAGTCCTTGAGAAAACTGATTGTGATGGTTGTTGATGGACTGAGGGTTGAATCATACTCTCCAATGGCTACTGAGCAGCTGGCTGGCTGGAAACGATGTTTAGGCACTATTGACTTGCAAGGGATTGGAGCCAGCCTTGTAGAAGCAGAATACACTCTGTCAGTGCCAATCCCCGCAATCATCTAGTCCTTTGGAGTTTGCTTTTTTTCTTTTTTTTTTTTTTTTTTTTCCCACATTTGCCAGAAGCAGTGTGGCTAAATACATTTCAAAGCAGGAAAAAAGTCTGACCCCGTGTTACTCAAAAAGTGGTGTGGTTTGTCTTTTTTATTTTTTTTTAATTGCAAAGCTTTGACCATTTTTAATTAAATGTGCTTTTTCTGCCTTGTCTCTACTCCAAGCTACTATGCTCTAAAATGCTTCTGTGGCTTAGCACAGCTCTTTTTAGCTGCTGATTTTGGTAAGCATCTTATTAATTGCCTGTTTGACGTGGGTGGTGGAGCTTCGTCTCCGAGTCTTGCCCTGGACCATCTTTCGACGCCGTACCTCACGACAGAGCTCATAGAAGGCCTCCATAATGTTGCCCTCTCCTGTGCAAGCAGAACACTCATAAAAAGCACATGCTAGTTCTGTGGCCAGCTTTTCACCTTCCTCTGTGCTGACCTGCCTGGAGTGATCCAAGTCTGCTTTGTTCCCCACCAGGATCAGGGTGACATTTTTGGGTTTTTTAACTTCATCCAACAAGTTCTTAAGTGGCAGCACTTCCTCAAAGCTGCCCCTGTCCGTGATGTCATAAACCAGGACGAAGCCTTCACCCCATCGCACATGTCCTTCTTTCTGAATAGCGTCCTCCTGTTTTGAAAAGACAGACACAAGCCTCAGGAGTTTGATTTATGAAAAAGACACCAGGCCTTCAGATAGACGTTGGTCCTCCAAAGCCTGCAAAGCCATGTACATCTACTTGACTTTGTACTTTATGCACATCACCTTTTTTATCGTGTGGCATAAGGAGATCTACTCTACCAAGGTGCCATGAGCTGCCTGTGGACAGGCTGGTAGCAGGCAATTGTAAGAGGGTCTCTGTTGAACGATACCCAGCACACAAACTGCATAAGACTGTGCAGTGTGAGCATCTGCTATGCTTTGAAAGGAAGGGGGACCTGGCTATGACAAAACTCCTCTTCACTTTGGTGGTAATCATTGACTGAGGCTGTTGAGCATCATCAGTTGACTGCAGAAATAGACTGACTTTGTGTATAGTAGTAATGTGTTGCTGGGTTGGTCTTGAATCAAGGAATGAGAACAAAATAATTTTAATCCCAGAGTAAACCCTGACTTTGTTTGTCCTTCCAGTGTTCAAAAACTCTAAGTAGGGTCCCTTTGCAGAAGGATCTGGATCCAGCATGCTGGGTCTGGCACCAAGCTGATGGTGGTGGAGGGGGGGGAGGGGTTCTTCTCAGAAGCAAATCTCTGTCCCCAGAAGCTGAGCACACCTGTCACCCACCGCACTCCTGCCACCACCGCACTCCCCTTCCCTGCTGTCTATCCGAGCCAAGGTATTGGATAATAGTACATGTACCCACGCACCTGACCAGCTGTATCTAGTATCTCCATGGAAACCACTTCATCATCAATGGTAGCTTGGTGACGATATGTAGACTCTAAAATAAGAACATATTTTATTAAATGTACTAAAAGAAGGAATTTTTTTTGTATCTTCCTTACAGCTACGCCAGCACAAGACCTGAGATGTGACATACAGCTTCACCAAATTTTATTTGTTCGAGCTCTTCCAGCCATTCTGTAGCACACTCAAGTTCTCCCTTCTACAATGGCAACTATTTTACCCCTCCCCATATGGCACAACTCTTTCTTTCCCATGTCTTATACCTACAAAGGGCTGTGTCCATGGCCGTTGCACTCTGCACCCAAAAAAGGCCAGTTTCCTGTGGCAAAGAGCTCTGCAAAGCTGCAGTCCATTTTTCATGCTTGTTCATAGGGAAGGCTGCCACCTATGAAACACAAATACTGCCACTCTCCAAGTTTTCAGCTCAAAAGCCTGCCACTGTGTAGCTTGAAGTCTGACAAGATCAAAACTAGTATGGCTGCAGATCAGGGAACCTAACCACTAAGCTCAGGCCTTATACTGTGATAAAATTACAGAACAGTTTGCTGTTTTAGGAATGTCTCTTTGAAACATGCTGAAATCATCACATTCCACTCTTCTAGCAAGGGCTCAAGCAGTGACTTCCCTGTATATGATTTATAATAATAACCAGTGGGCATTAAGCATTCACACTATGCTACAGGAAAAAAATTACTGTGTCCCAGGTTCTGGAACCAGGCAACTAATCAGAAAGCTCATGACAAAAGGGTTTGCTTTATCTTAATGAGATGATAAGTTAAATTTGATAGCATTTGACCTAAAACTTGGAAAATTATCTGTGCTAACATTCAGATTTATTACTGTTGCTAGCTCACAGATGTCCTATATCAAAAGGCAAATGCATATGCTGTGAAACTGTGGCCAGTGACTATGAATGCTTTGCATAGTCAGAGACACAATTCTTTTATTTGGTGCAAATCTCAGTAGGAACAAAGGATAACTTCAAGGAAACACATTTTTGAATTTGAACTTCTGAAAGGGCTCATATTTGGTGAATGTCTTTTTTGTTACATGCTTTAAAATATCACATCTTCATAGAGATGAATGTCTCAATGATGTCAGTGCTGCAAACACTCTCTTCCCAAACCAACAATGTCACTTCCCTCCTGTGCCACCTTAATTGCTTTGAAATAGCACAGCTGCCTCTAACAGGGACAAATGGTCAATTTAATTAGGCAGATGGCAAGTAATCTTGCTGTAGGGTTTCAGGCAATCAAGACTAGGTTTTTTAAAGGTTGTAAATACTCCTTCTGTGTATTGCAAGGCTGTTGAAGGAGTTGGAGCTCCCCCTTTGTGATCCTGAGGCCATACCTAGACAGCAGAGTAAGATATATCTGAGTCTCTCAGTTCTATGTCTCACCTCACCCTTCCGTACGCCCTCCTAGCTGCAGCAATTTCCACATGGAATACAGAAAAGGTAGGAGCTCTAGTTTGGTGTGGAAGCTGCAGTGATACACTTCCAACAAGTTATTTCAGTAGCTAAAATGTCTGGTGCTAGGTTGGGGTTCCCTGTGTAGCACTCCACATCCAAGGTCATTTGGGAACTTTTGCTTTGCTTCTTTGGGGGAGAGTGTTGTGAAGAAGATGGCTCTCTGAGGAATGTGATATTGGCTCCTTACTTGTTTAATCCTTGCAATGCTTAAATGCCTTCAACCATCTGGCCCTGCTTGACAAGTAGCTGTTGCAAATTGGTCCTCACAGCTTGAGAAAGTGCTCATCCAACCATGTTTGCAGCACATCTGTGAAAGGTCCTTCTGAGGAGGCAGAGTGTGGTAGGCCATACGGCTCTTCCCGGTGAAATGGGAGAATAAATCTCAAGGACTAGACTTGTGCTTGCTGCAGAAAAGCAGTGTGATTCTTAAATGATACTTGAGTTCTCAAAATATGACTCTGACAGCACTTTATGTTGCAAGTTTAACTCACTTTGGCTGCTTGTGTTGGGATGGAATTTGACCCTGAACAAGCAGCACTGATTTGGGTCAGATTAGTGTAAATATATCTTAGTAAATATGTGTCTGTTCCTGTGCTTTGGAATGTGTGGTAGTTCGGTGAATATTAATGAAGAGTGTAAAACAGCTGGACACTTAAAATATTTTTTGGTGTAATCACAGACATGGCTTCTTCTTCAAGGAAGCAGAAACATCTGAACAATCTGGTCGTCTTGCAAGTTATGAACCCTGAAGTTGTGATTTCCAGTCTGTTCACAACGACCCCATGGTACTTCACAAATGCATTGACTGGCTTTGGGATTTATTAATATAATTTTCCCTGTGGCACTTTGGTTTGTTTTTTTTTTTTGAGACATGAAGCTAGAGAGAAATTGGTTTACTTGAGATACCTGCTGGATCCCTAACTGAAACTATCGACAGCGCAGGTGTCTGTGTCTCAGCTAAGCACCCTTGACTCCTATTAGAGTTGAAGAAGTAAAATAGGTGGAGGATACAGTTTGTCTGATCTCTCTCGTGGGATAAATCACACCTCAAAAGCACTTAGAAGTCTAAAATTGGTCAGGTGAATCCAGGCTGTCAGTGTCTTATGCTCACATTGTCACGGTCAAGCAGAAAGAGCAAAGTTTAACACCACACCAGTGCTTCCCAAGATGGCTATAGGCAATTTAGTGAGCTTCAGCTTGTTATTTGCACCAGGTGATGCCTATATATCATATCTATATACCTATACAGCTAAAAACTCATAGATAGAAAAGAAACCTCAGAGCTGTGTTTTGCTCTTCATAGACTCAGTGTCAAAACTGCTAGCCTCAAAGCAGAGTTAGGGAGCTGCTGCTGACTGAGCCATGGTGTCCCTGATGCTGCTGGTGTTGTGGAAATAGCCATATTTGGTGGTGTGCTCTGCTTCAATTTAAGTAAGTAAATCTGGCCCATTCTTGTTGGTTTGGGAGTGTGCTATGCTCTTATTCATATTCCCAATAACAAGATCAAAGGTACTGCTAACTGTGTGGCTTTGAAAGCTGATGCCAGACTTCAGGGTCCCACTTGGTTACAAAGCTGCAATCCTCCAGTCCTCTTGCTGTGCAAAGCACTCTTGGTTCTCACAGTCCTATCATTTGAAAAAAATTAGGTTTATTCCAGAAACATTTAGAGCTGTCAAAAGGCCTGAGAAACATGTTGGAAAGTGGTAGATGTCGGTTTAAGTCTATAATATATTGCCACAATAATTAATTAATAGTAAGTGGATAAAATTTTTAAATTACCACAGCTGCCGAATAATTACATAAATAATGACTTTTGAGGGTGGGGGGAACATCCCCTGGGGCTCTCTATGTTGATAAGTGTGTTACAAATCTCCCTATTCTTCTGAGCAATACAATTTTTAAAAATGCAGGAAAAAAAACCTACTAAACTTATATAAAGAAAACTTTGAAGCCCATGATCCAGAGACTATCCATGGATATGATGACATTCAGTCACAGCTCGACCACATCACATACTTGAGCTATGCTTATTGTGACACATTATTAGAGTTTTGGCCTATAAGGCTTGGCTGGTCATTTATCAAACCTATTTGTCCAGGACTATCTTGATCTATTGAATATATCCGAATCCAGAAGATTATATTTTCTAGAGAAAAACTATTATCTGAGAAGTGATTGCTAGATCTTGTTTCATATTTGCAGTGATGTAAAAAGCTGTAGTGATGCAAAAAGATGTTTTCAGTACTTGTTTATTTTGAACAGGTAATATATATGGGGGGTATGTCATAGTCCTGGAAGGAAATATTTGTATCGGAAGGGTTTATGGCTTTTAGGAAAACACTTGTAGTAGGACTAGGTAAATCAGCTGAAATGGAGCAATGACATACACCATTTTACACTTAAATTTAAGCAACAGCCTGTTCTCTTCTGTTTTTTTTTTTTTTTTTTTAAAGCACAGAGGGACACAAAATCTGTTTCCATTCAGAATTGTAGTTCACTTTGGTCAGGAAAGGTTAATAAAAATGCTTTAAGAAACTTTGGTCTCATTATGGCTTTCAGCCAGTTGGATCTGAGAACTGCAAAAGACCTAGAGAAAGAGCTTTTGTGTAATAATTATAAATGAATTTCCAGACCAAAAAGCTACAGCTAAGAAACATGAACTTCTAAGTTATGGTTTAAGCCTTGTTTGACAGCAATGCAGACGTATGTTTAAAAGACTGAAATTTCCCAGAATTATTTCTGATTACATAATAAAAGTTCCCCTTTAAAAAAACCCAAACCCACAACAACAACAACAACAAAAAAAAAACCCCAACAAAACAACCTCCCTGCTCATTTAGACTCCTGCACTCTTTGACATCCATCAGGAGGGCACCTGCCTCTATCACATTTGGGAACAGTGACTTTGACAGCCCATTGGGGGGAAAAAATATTACCTCCATTACTAACCCTGGTGTTGTTTGGATATGTCCTCCAGAGCCTTCCTTCAGCCTGCCTTTGTGAAATCTGTCCCCCTCTGCATTTCCTTGCTGCTTCAGGTACTTATCACCTTTTAGAAAGCCCTTGTGACTTGAATGTACCTTCCTGACTCAGAAAGTCTCCTGCATTCTTCCTTTCCCCACCTCAGCCTTTCTCAAAACTCAGATGAATGTATTTTTCTTCTTTGCACCTGGCTGTTACTTACTCCATACATTACCTTACAGGAGGGTTTTTATTCTACAACTATCAGTGGTTTTGCAGTAACCACAGTACTGCCTTTGTGTATTAACAACACATCTCTAATGCTAATGCAGTATATCCTCACATCTCTTTATTAACTGATATTACAGACACAAAAATAAGCATAATTGGGTAATTATCAAGAATACCATCAAATGATATGCCATGCATTGTTATTGCTATCATTATTATCATGTGTAAAAGAAGAAAAAGTAGTAAAAAGGAAGCTACTGAAAGGAAACTCTGATTCTGACACCTCTGATAATCGGACTTTTCAATGTCATAAGTGTTTCTGCATGTGTAACCCCAAGAGTCTTGAAATATAGAAGAAAAACTTCCGGGAG